CGTCTTCGAGATGTCTCAAAGCGCTTCACAGAATATGCATTAAAGTGAATTGACTGTAATTTGTAGCCGAAGCATTGCAGCCAATTGCGCAGAGCAGTGTCCCCCGAACAGTCATGGACTGTTGTTATTATTTTTTTAAGGGAATTATTACCCCCGGAAAAGTGATTCACCAAACAAGTAACAACTGGGTTCCTACTGACTACTAGGTAAACAGAAGCGTGTAGAGTAAGGAAACTGCCCGGAATCAAACCCAGGTCCTCTCGCTTGTGAAGCAAGTGCTCTAACCAATATCCTACTGGATTCGAAATGTAATTATTTTTAAGCTGCTGTCAAAAATGCCATTAAAACACTATTCAAGAGACGTCAGCCTATGGCTGTTTGTGGGACATTGCTGTACATAAATTGACTGCCACGTTTGCCTACAAAATGCTCCAGTTTACACTGTATCCTGCAAAGCATCATCCTGATGTGAATGGCGCCATATCAAAGGCAAACGGTATTACTTCAATTATTGGTAGCATTATTATTCACCTGAAAAATAACCTGTGCCTTCAGAAATCATTTACATGGCAAAGTTAACAGCACGACCCTGGAAAAATATGCTCGGCATACTTTTCAGCCGTTATTGACATCTCAGCTTGTTACAATCCCTTCTGCCTGGCAGTGTTCAGCTGCCATCTGCTCGACTCTCCAACCTGTGTCCTCACCGAACCTGAAATTCATTCCTTTATTCCATCCAGCTCTCTGTGCCCAGTCTGGCCCAGACTCAGTTTTTTTTGCCCATCTCCTGCTGCTTCCCGTGCAAATTCTCCTGGCTGCTGTCAATCCTGCTGGTGTTTATAATATACTCATCTTTCCACTTGTTAGCCTTGCTCGGTCTGCAGCTCTCTCACATTTCCGAGTCCGAAGGTTGTGGGTTCGAGCCCCAGGTCAGGACTCCAATCGCGCACAGTCCAGGCTGACGCTCCAGTGCGGTGCTGAGGGGAGCACTGCAGTGTCAGAGGTGCCGTCCTTCGGATAAAATATTAAATTGAGCTCCCATCTGCCTGTTTAGGTAGGCGTTAAATAGTGGGGATTGTGTTATATTCTTTGACACTATTCAAAAAGAGAAGTGAGCTTCTCTCTCCCAGTGTCCTGGCCAACAATGTCCCAAATGAAATTGGTCACTCACTCCATGGTTGTTTGTGGGAGATTGCTGTGTGTAAATTGGCTGCTGCGTTCGCCTACAAACAGTCACGAAATTTCACACTATAATTATTATTATTTAGCGCACATCATTTGGAAATGCCTCAAAGTGTTTCACTGGAAATTGTGATCAAGCCAGTGACTGGATTTGTTGGCAAACACAGACACCAATGTATCCACGACAACAACTGTAATTTACATTCGCTCTAACGCCCTTCCCAATGGAATAGGGTCTCAGAGACAGTTTGGGACACAGAGCAAGGAAGAAGGGGCGGGGGAGGGCAGAGGGGAGAGGGGGAATGAGACCATAGACACATGAGAAGAGATCGCTTTTTAGGCTGGATTTAAAACTAAATGGGGGGGTGGGGGAAGAGATTGAAGGGTAGAGTAGAGGAGAGGAGATCCAGAGGTGAGGGGTGTCGTTGCTAACACAGCAGGGTGCAACAAATAGTTATGAATTTATCCGGAGGTTTATTCCAGTCTCCCTCCTGGTCTGTGGCTACACCAGGGAGTCTGTGTTGTGTGGCACTGTGGAGTCAGGGATCATTGATGGGGAGGGAGGGGGGGGCACTCAACACTCGTTCTATTTTTGCCACAAAACTGAGCCCTTTAGCCACGTTAAACAATGCTGATATCAACACAGAGAACACTCAGCAGGTCAGGCAGCATCCATGGAGAGTTAACGTTTCAAGTCTCTGACCTTTCACCTGACACGTTAACTCATTTTTCTCTCTCCATAGATGCCGCCTGACCTGCTGTGTGTTTCCAGCGAGTGACTTCTGTGTTTGTACCAGATTTCCAGCTCCTGTAGTTCTTTGTCTTTTGTTAATCAAAGCTGAACCTGAACTGAACTGAAACAGTCACAGAGCACTGCCTCCCCCCCCCATCACAGAGAGCTGCACCCCCTCTCCCAAGTCACAGAGCACTGACCCCCCCCCCCATCACAGAGCGCTGCACCCCCTCTCCCCAGTCACAGAGCACTGACCCCCCCCCATCACAGAGCACTGCCCCCCCTCCGTCACAGAGCACTACACCCCCTCTCCCCAGTCACAGAGCACTGCCCCCCCACCAGTCACAGAGCACTGCCCCCCCCCGTCACAGAGCACTGCCACCCCCCAGTCACAGAGCACTGCCCCCCCCCCAGTCACGGAGCACTGCCCCCCGTCACAGAGCACCGCCACCCCCAGTCTCAGAGCACTGCCACCCCCCAGTCTCAGAGCACTGCCACCCCCCCGTCACAGAGCACTGCCCCCCCCCCCACCAGTCAGAGAGCACTGCACCCCCCGCAGTCACAGAGCACTGACCTCCCCCCAGTCACAGAGCACTGACCCCCAACAGAGAGCACTGCCCCCCAACAGAGAGCACTGCCCGGCCCAGACACAGAGCACTGACCCCCCCCCCCCACCCCACCCAGTCACAGAGCACTACCCCCCCAACAGAGAGCACTGGCCCTCCCAGTCACAGAGCACTGGTGGAAGAGGTAGTATTTGACGCAGGCAAGCGCAGCTCCGCGAAGGTTAGGCTGAGAGGAGAGGCAGTGGAGGAGGATACAACAACAACAACACAATTACAATTACATTTGCATAGAGCCTTTCATGTCGGGAGGACGTCCCAAGGCGCTACACAAATATAGCATCTGAGGACGCTGTAGAATAGAATGGTCGATAGTATCGAAGGCAGCAGAGAGGTTCAAGGAGGACAAGGAGGCAGAGAGAGCCCTGGTCGTAGGTGGACAGAATGTCATCAGTGACTTTGACAAAGGCTGTGGGAGGCATGAAAACAGGTGGGTTATCTCAACATCAACAACAACAGCTGCAGCTGAAGTTCTGTAGCTCAGTGGTTAGAGCACTCGCTTCACAAGCGAGGGACCTGGGTTCGATTCCTGGCAGCGCAAAATGTTGGGCAAGTTTCCTTACTCCATCCGCCTCTGTTTTCTTAGCAGTAAGTAGGAACCCGGTTGTTAGTTGATTGGCGGATGGCTTTTCCAGTGGTAATAATCCCTTCAAAAAAAAATTGGTCACTCATTGGCCTGTTTGTGGGATACTGCCGTGCGCAATTGGCTGCCATATTTTGCCCACAAAATATACAGTCAATTCACTTTACAGTATATTCTGTGAAGCGTTTTGAGACGTCTCAAAGACGTAATAAGGCGCTATATCAAATGCAAGGATTATCATATTATATAACAACCTCAACAACAACAACCACCTCAACAACCACAACTTAAACCGGAACCAGCATGCTGTGCCCTTCAAAATAGGACAGCCTCTCAGAACTTTCAATAATAACAATAATAATCCTTAGCGTGCTGTTGAGACGTCTCAAAATGCTTGACAGCACTTTGCTGTACTGTAATGTGCAATGACTGTGTATTTGGTAGGCGAAGGTGGCAGCCAATTTGCACACAGCAATGTCCCACAACCAGTCATGCAGTAAATTACAAATTTTATCTGGGGGATTGTTGGCCAGGACACCGGGAGAGAGAAACTGCCTTCTCCTTTCGAGTAGTGCCATGGGATTGTGAGCATCCACCTGAACAGGCAGAGAGGACCTTTCTCATCCGAAGGATGGAACCTCTCGACAAGGCAAGTGCAGCCTCCAACACTCCATCAGAGCGTCAGCCGAGACTATGTGGGTTCAAAGTCCCGATGTGAGGTTCGAACCCACAGTCTCTTGAGCCTCGGGAATGAGAGCGCTACTGACTGAGTCAAGTCGACACCTTATAATAATAATAATCCTTGCATTTCGCATAACGCTTTATCACGTCGTTGAGACGTCTCAAAATGCTTCACAGGATATATTGTAAAGTGGATTGACTGTGCATGTTGTGGGCGAAACACGGCAGCCAAATGGGCACAGCAGCATCCTACAAACAGTTGTGGAATGAGTGAGCAAATTTTATTTCTTTAGAGGTATTATTACCCCCGGAAAGCGATCCGCCAATCGACGAACAACCGGATTCCTACTCACTGCTACGTGAACAGGCGTGTGGAGTAAGGAGACTTGCCTTTCTCCCCTTATCTGGTTAGAAAGCCCTCAGGTGCTGGGAGGACTAAGCACATCTGGAAAGGAAAGCTCCTTTATGCTCTGACTCGCACCACAAACCAGCCTTTTCCTTGCAATTGTTAAACACCAGTAAAAAAAAAAGGTTTGTTCCCCAGTTATTGCCCTTTGCTCTCTCTCTCTCCCAAGTTTCCTTCCTGAGCCCAGTTTGGTTTGTGTTGTTATTTCTGTGTGTGTGGTGGAGGGGTGGGAAGAGTGGAGGCAGAGAGAGACAGAGATAAAATAAGGAGGGAAGGAGGGAGGGAGGGAGGGAGAAAGAGAGGTAAGAAGGAGTAAAACTTCTTCCTTTTGAACAAAATAGAAAGATCAACAAAGAAAAAAAAAGAGAAAGAGAAAAGCATCTTCACAGGTAAAAAAAAACAGATCAACTCTCAAATGGAAGCAGGTCTGAGCTGAGACTTGAGTTGGTTCCCTGTGAAAAAGAGGGGAAAGTTCACTGTCAGTAGATTTGCTGCTCAAAACGTCCCAACTCTCTGCAGTGACCAACTTGTTTCGCCTCCAGTGCACTGTGCAGTGTAGTCCAACACGTACTGTCAAGGGCTCTCCTGCATCAGTCTCTCTCCACACACAACACACACACCCTTCAGCACAGACACACAGACAGACCATTGCCAGCAAAGCTGTCTTGTACAGTTAGTCTCAGCTGCTCTGCAAAGCAAAGACAAGCCAAAGCCATTCTCCCTCTTACACTCTCTCTCTCTCTTTCTCTCTCTCTCTCTCTCTCTCAGATGCATGTACTGTGCTGTACTCACAGGCATTTTCCATCAAGCTGCTGTTAAGCTCTCTCTCTCTCTCTTCTTTGCACACTGCACATTCCTGGGCTCCTGCTTGCTTGCTTTTTTCTTGCTTGGCAAAGGGAGTGAACTTTCCCCTCTTTCACAGGGAAAACACTACCCCCCCCATCACCATCACCACCACCACCACCACCAGCAGCAGCAGTGCTCTCATTTGGGAGCTGAGTTGATCTGATTCTCTTGCAACCTCTGAATTCCTGGCAGAGAGAAGAGAAAGCCACCAGTTGAGGCAGGGAGTGAGGAGGTTGAGCAGTCAGTGAGGGAGATCACTTCTCTCTCTCTCTCTCTGTGTGTGCTAACAGCTTGTTGCACTCCACTCTGCCAAAGCTCCAGCCTTCAAGCACCTCCTGCAAACCAATGAATGCATTTCCTTGCCACTCCCACCCACCTACTTGGGTTGATCCACTCGGCTGGTTTATTCGCACAAGTGAGGAGAAACTTCTTGTTGATACGATGTACATGCATAATAATCCTTGCATTTAATATAGCGCCTTTTCACGTCTTCGAGACGCCTCAAAGCGCTTCACAGAATAGACTGTAAAGTGAGTTGACCGGATATTTTGTGGGTGAAACACGGCAGCCAATTGCCCACAAATAGTTGTGGACTGAGTGATCAAATTATATATTTTTTAAAAGTGCATTTATTTTTGAAGGGATTATTACCCCCAGAAAAGCGATCCGCCAATCGACCAACAACTGGGTTCCTACTTACTGCTGGGTAAACAGAGGCGTGTGGAGTAAGCAAACTTGCCTAAGGTTTTGCCCTGCCCGGGAATCGAACCCAGGTCCTCTCGCTTGCGAGGCGAGTGCTCTAACCTCTAAGCTGCAGGACTCCACAACAAAACTGAAGAGGTGCAAAATTCTTCAGCCAGTCCACATTCTTCCCTTGTTCTTGTGCTTTTTTTAAATAACCTGGTCAGCCGAGTGTCTGACAACACAGAAACCCATCACCATGTTTAACAGTATCCGAACCTGGCTGAGTTCCATGTGCGGAAATTCCCTGAGTCTCAAATACGAACTCTGGACACATCTTGTTTACCTAATACAATACAATTCACATTTGTATACAGTTACAATTTACGTACAGTACCTTTTATGTCAAGAGGATATCTCAAAATGCTTGACAATGCTGACTGGGCACCTGCGATGGGGGTGGGAATCAAGGGGGAGAGGGGGCTGCAGTCAAAGTGGTAGATCCTGAGATGGAGCTTGAACGAGGGCAGGGAGTCAGAGGGACTCCGGGATGGAGTTCTTGAGAGCGGGTGGGGTGTGGGTGGGTGTTCGGAATTAGATAAAAGCCTGCCTGCCCGATGGTGGGGCAGATAGGGTGAGGGATACAGAGAGTATGAGATGCAGGTTGGCAAGAGCTAATGTATGGGGACACCACATTGTGTGTTGGGAGTATCTGCTGGAGTTTAACCAGCCAAAACCTCAAAGCTTGCCATTGAGAGCATGGTCTGGCAAGCTTCTCATTACTACTCCAGCTAGGACCACCCTAACCAATAGGGCTTTGGATTACAGAGTTAACAGGAGCTGAGCGGGAAGAATCACTGCACCCAGTGATTTTGTCCTTTCTACCCCACATCCGTGTCTTGACCCACTCTGCCTTCCCCCACCTCCGCAACATCGCCCAACTATTAATCCAGAAGTTAGTAGCAGTGGTCATCAGAAAACATTCCCAGAAATCAGAGGGGGAAACAGACCAGTTGCACTCGCAAGCATAACTTCTGAGGAACGTTTTGCTTTCCCAAGCTAACTTTCTGAACACTAAAGGATACAATCATAGAGATTTAGTGCACAGAAGAAAGCTATTCGTTCCATTCGAGTCAGCCTCTGTCCTTGAGTGGTTCAGATCATAATTCTCACACCGTCTTCACTTCATCTCCACAAACGGCTTCTCCTCCAGTCTCCGCAAAGTCTCGTGCGGCGTTCCTCAGGGCTCTGTCCTTAGTATCCTCTTCTTCAACATCTGCAGACATGGGGTCAACTTCTATAACACCCACATCCATGCCATGATCCACTCTGCCTTCCCCCACCTCTGCAACATCGCCCAACTCCGCCATTGCCTCACCCCTCAGGCTGCCAAACCCCTCATTCCACGCATTCATCACATCTAGGCTCGACTATGCAAACTCCCTACTTGTCAGTTTTCCCAATTCTTCCCTCCAGAAGCTGCACATCATCCAGAGCTCTGCAGCTCGTGTCCTCTCCTGCACCAGGCTTTGTGACCCCATCACCTTCACTCTTGCCCGGCTCCACTGGCTCCCCATACCTCAGAGGACAGTGTTCAAAATCCTCTTCCTCGCCTTCCATGCCGTTGTCCCTCCCTACCTCTGCGACCTGCTGACCCCATATCAACCATGTCTGTTCCCTCCGCTCAGCAGGCTCTGGCCTGCTCCAGGTCCCCGCCCGGCTCACCCCACCATTGGCGGTTGGGTCTTCAGCCTTTCTGACCCCAACCTCTGGAACTCCATCCCACATTCCCTTCGCCTCGCTCCCTCCCTTGCCTCATTCAAGCCGCGTCTCAAAACCCTCCTCTTCGACTGAGCCTTCGGCCACCCTCCTGCCTTTCACCCTCCCCAATCCCGACCCCCAGCTCAGGTCCAAATCTCTGACAGTGTCCAGCGTCTTGGGACGTCCTCTTGACGGAAATGTAATTTTGTATTATATTATATTGCAGACGCTTGAAGGGGTATGGAGATATGGCAAGGCAGTGGGATTGAATGAACACTTTACTCTGAGAGACTTGTTGGGCCGAATGGCCTCTTCTATGCTGTAAATCTCTATGATTCTTGGAAACAATGCATTGACATCCCAATGACAAATGACAAACCTCGGTGTGGGGTGGTGGGGGGGGGGTGGGGGGCAAACAAAGTCAATCCAATACTAATTCCGCGAAATAATACATGCAGAAACTATTGGTATTCCGAAAGCTATTGATCCAATTGAATGGATTTAATCCAGTTCAGGAAGAAACCAACAGAGAGAGAGAAAAAATTCCGTCCGTCAGGCTTGACCTACATTCTAGAGAAACAGTATGAGCCAATGCCACAGTTAGCAGTATCCTGTACACACTTTGAAAAATAATTGCAGTCTCGAGAATCATCAAGAGTCTACAGCACAGAGGCTATTCAACTTCTTATGTGCGTCTGTGTGTGCTAGTTCTAGCAATCCCACTGGAGCTATCTGTTTCAATTCCCCTTTTTTTTTCACATGCTCTTTAGTATTATTTTTCCTGAAGTATTTATGCAGTTGCCTTTTCGATGCTGTCGTAGACTCAGCATTTCATAATATAACAATGATAATCTTTGCATTTGATGTATCAAATACAAGGATTCTTCTCACTGTTGTTATGATACTGTGAAATACAGTGAATGTTTCGGAGGAAAAAGCAAAACCACAGCAGAGCCACTTTGCACGCAGCACAAACAGCCATGAAATCAATGACCAATTTTTATTTGGGGGATTGTCAGCCAGGAAAGAGAAACTCCCTTCCCTGTTTCGAATAGTTCCCTTTAACGTCCACCTGAACAGATGGACGGGGACTCGGTTTTAATCTGATCTGAAGGACGGCACCTCCGACAATGTACTCCACATCCCACAGCACTGCACTGTGTCTTCTTAGACAATTTGAGCTCAATGTCCCGATTTGGGGGAATTGAACCCACAGCTTTCTGATTCAGTGCTACTGACCGAGCCAGGCTGACAACTGTAATTCTGCCAGCAGTTAAAAATACCGTGGCCTTCAGTAAGCAATTCAGAACAAGGAGGCATAATATTAAAATTAGAGCAAGGCCATTCAAGAATGAAAACAATTTATAATTTGGTATTCAATCCACAAGTGTTTGTAGGACACTGCTCTGTGTAATTAGCTGCCGCATTTCACCCACAAAGTCAGTTCACTTTACAGTATATTCTGTGAAGCGCTTTGAGACGTCTCAAAGACATGATAAGGTGCTGTATCAAATGTAAGAATTGTTAAATCAAGGATTAAATCAAGTGGCACTTTTTCACACAAAGGGTAGTGGAAATCTGGAACTCTCTCCCCAAAAGGTTGTGGTTGCCAGATCCATTCAAATTTTCAAAACTAGAGGTTTGTTAGTTCAGAGAATTAAGGGATATGGAGCAAAGGCGGGTAAATGGAGTTGAGGTATCAATCAGCCATGATCTAATAGAATGGCGGAACAGACTTGAGGGGCTGAATGGCCTACTCCTGCTCCCATGGTCCTAATTCTGCAACTGTATTTTTCTGGGGGGCACAGAATTCCCCAAATCCGTATGTTCTTACAGAAAAAAGACTTGCGTCGTTGTTTCAATCGGGAACGAAATTAGAACATTTGGCATTTAAGTCAATTGAGGCAATTCAAGGATAAGCCTAGAAATCAATCCTGCAACACAGAGCGTGAAGGAGATGGGATCATATCAGCGGGCAGAGAGAGGGAGAGAGAGAGAGATGAGGGAAAGAAGAGAGGGGAACTGCAAGGGCAGCCAGCTGATCCAGATCGTCAGCAATTCAGACCGAATCCCTTGTGGAATTGAAAATGAATCTGCGTAAACAAATGCAGAGATGCAGAGACTCGATGAACATTCGCTGGTGTGGTAGAGGGTGTGACACCAGTGATTAATTGTCAATGCTTCATCTTGAAGGGAAGGTCAAATGCTCTCAACGCCACGAAGATACAAAAGCAGCTCAAGATTTATGCAGGGGACTCAACAGGCTCCTGTTTGTACAGGGAGAGCGGTGGTTTTCCTACGTGCCCAGACATTGATAATCGGCAAGCTTTCCAAACACAGTGCATCGATGGAGGATTAATGCGGATTACAAGACTCTCAGATTGCCCACTTGCTCCCACACAGAGAATTTAATGGGGACGATGGTGTTTCTGGGTTGTCACATTGCAATGGCAGATAATCTCCTAATTGTGTTTTCCAGACATGGAACTGCCACGGCTGCCAGATTGAAGTTGGCCGGGACAAATGGCTGATATGACGGCAATTGCGGTGAAAACAAAATGGCACTCTGTTTTCAAAGTGTTTGCACTGATGTTCCATTTTGTGGAGTCCTGTAGGGTATTGGTTAGAGCGATCGCCTCGCAAGCAAGAGGACCTGGATTCGATTCCCGGGTGGGGTGAAACCTTAAGGCTTGAAGATTTGTATGAATTACAATCCAATTTATATTTATCATAAAAATCAAACATAAGCATTATTATCAGGAGGACGTCTCAA